CTATTATTATTTTTGCACTGTATACACAGATATATGGTCTCTTGTGCGATGGCAAGGAATTCTTTCTTGACACGCATGAATGTTCATTGTATGAATTAGCATATCGTCAAGTAGCTCGTGGGAAACGCTATGAAGCATTAGAAAAACAAACTAAGATGCACCCAACTTGACGGGTCCTTTAAAAAATGTTAGAAGCAATCAATAAAACCCATCTTTTACGCATAGAATTCGTACATCCTATATTAAATTATTACAGGATTTTCAAAAAAATCTGGCCGATTCAAGGAAATTCAAAAATAAACAAAAATTCCGAATTTTGGTCATAATTTTGCAAGAAAAACTCTACGTAAAAAATTATTGCTCAGCTACTAATACATTATTTCCAACTAAACGTTTACATTTCATAATTGTGAAGTCGATGGACGTTTCTGTGTACTTTGAAACTACGTTACTTGGTTCCACATATTTTATTGGTATTGTGTATGAAAACTGAGCAAAATCGAGGTCATACAATGTTCACATTATATGTTTTCTCAAAATCTGCGCCACAGAATTTTTTTAAACTTTGATCTTTTGTAATTCATATATCATGGTTTGTGTAAATCAAGCAATTTTCAAAATAAACAACGAGGGAAACACATAGAAATTTTTTCTTATTTTAATATTTCCTTATAACTGATTTATATAATGCTATTTCAAAACAAATTAATTATTATAAACTTCAATCATTGTCTAATATTTGATGAAAGTTTCATGGTAATTAAATAAAAGCAACATAATGAACGAAGCGAATAAACAAGCTTGATGCGGTCGGCTCAATCTCGTACCCAGAGCCCTTATTTCTTACTGCGCATGCTCGACGAAATAATTGGGCTCTGGAAAACTCCAAACAGGAAGACCCAGATTCTGGGTTTCTCACACATGCGCATTATGACAGACTAGGTAAATTCAAAATGGCGGACGATGTTCAACGAGCATGTGAATTTGCGCTCGGAAAATTAGGTTTTGAAGATAGTTTTCAGTTAAATTAACTACGAAAATATCTATTGGATGAACATCAATACAATTCCCATTATAAAACCGGCCAAACTTTGAAAAATCCAGCCCTACAGGCCTTTTTTGGTGTACTTAATTCGAGACGCCATCTTGTTTTTATTTTCCCTAGTACTGTAATTTTTACTTCCGGTATCTTTCTTTGTTCTCGAGAACCAATCACAGTACAGGAAATATTGGAGTTTTCCAGAGCCCAATTATTTCGTCGAGCATGCGCAGTAAGAAATAAGGGCTCTGGGTACGAGATTGCGGTCGGCTATAAACTGTACCCAAGCACCTTAACATATCAATTCTGAAATACATGCGCGCATGCACTAGTGATTTGAATGCGATCTGTGAAAGATAACAACCATATGGACTCTAGGGATTTTCCCAAACTTTATCTGTAAGGTTTTTTTGGCATATTTTCTTCTGTGCTGAAATTATTTACATATGATTCACATTACATTTGTACCCATGAAAAGTACGACAAATTTGTAGTTGTGGTCGTCGGTGAAGTTGTACTTTTTTCTTAATGATGCATTTTAATAGTTATTATAAGATTAAGTATTAAGACTTGTTTAATTTCAAGCAAAAACAAAGCGATTCTCAATTCAAGAGTTTATCAGATCGAATGACATTGAGAACATTTGGTTAAGGCTACTTTAAAGCACTGATATTATGATTTCCAAGTATTAAGACTTGTTTATTTTTCAGCAAAAACAAAGCGAATCTGAATCCAAGAGTTTATCAAAGCGAATAAACGAAGCTTTACAAGAAAATGAGACGTTAAAACAAGAGCTAGTCGGAGCAGCGGACAGGATAGATAACCTTAAAAGAAAAAATGACGACAGGAAGACGATAACACAGGCTAAAGTACAAGCATTGAGGTGGGTAACATTGTTTTGAGTTGTAGTTGTGTTAAATATAGAACTAAAGATGGCTTAGCAGGGCTCGAAATAGCGGCCTGCCAATGGCAAAATGATAGGCCAAATTTCAAGTTTGCTCAGCGACAATAAGGATGCACTGCCAAATAAATAATAAAATAGCATGCAAAATTTCCTCGAATGACCTCCAATTACCATTCTACTTTACTATGGCAGGCTAAATAAAAAATGTTTCTATTTCGAGCCCTGCTTAGCTGTAGTACACTCTCCTCTCACCTTTGGTTTGATTCGGCGTGGACTCGTCATCACATGCAAGAAGAGATTGTTCGGTCTCTCCGTTGATTCGAGTATTCTTCTATAGGTTCTCTAGTTTCCTCGCTCCATATATAAAATCTAAAATGCTAAGTTCCACTTGATCTTAAGTTAGCCGTGCCCTGACTTGAGAGATTTCTCTCCTGGTTCTACAGGTTTCTTTCTTTTCTCCTCAAAACCCAACGTGCTAAATACTCCAGTTTCGAATACTTCATTGTACAGGGTTAAACTCGATTTCGTATGGAATTATTTTGAATATTCATGTGTTCCAGTCAAGATCCGTGGAATTTTAATGTGTTGTGATGCTCAAGTTGTGCATTCTTTACTTTACCGTTGGTGTTTCTCGATATTTGTTCACAATAATGAGGCTAACCCTGTATAATTGAGTCAGTAATCAATGAACACAGCGTTATATTGACAGAAACTAAATAAAACCTACTTTGCGTCTTGTGCTACGGACCTCGTTGGCTTTGTTCCTCTAGTGTTGTATTGTAGAAAGCTATGAAATGATGTTCATTAGTTTACGACATGATTAGAAATAACTCGTACGTGCCATCATTAATACCTGTTAATACCGAGAGAGACTTTATTCTTGTTTCCTGTAGAAATTCAAAACTTTTTAATTTATGTTGTATTGTGAAGCGCCACCGCAATGTAAACGAACCCGATGACAATTTCTATTTGACTAGGGTTTTCATTCATTAACTGACTGAACGGGCTCAGTATTTATGACAAAAAAGGAGAGCGTCGAGGATGTTTCAAGAACTGTCTACTTATTTTGACCCAAAACATCAACAGTCAACAGAGTAGATTTGATGAGTAGAACGGCAACTAATATTGCAGACGTGATTTACGGCCTCAGAATATAGTGGTACCTCTATTTAGGAGGTTCACGGGCAAAACATTTCATCATCAGATTTGTGTATCTTTGCGTGATGACATGTATTATACAAAGAAAAAACTTGTTTGTATTTTATTCTACGAGTAATACGGTCAGTTGACCTCACTTTTCTGAAAATTGAAGAAAGACTTGTAACCTTCTTAAAGTGAAAAGGATTATGGGGCTAAATGGGGGACGTAAGATGGCGGAACTTTTCGCCCCCACATTTATTCCCACAATACTATGCACGACTAGTTCGTTACCAGTCTTCCTTTGAACTTTGGAGGGTCAACTGAAAGTTACTCAGCTACAAATGAAGTTATTGAAGAATTATTTTCTCCTGAAGTCCAAACATAATCATTCTTGTCTGGCTTGGGTACGAGTAACGCATTGTAATTCAAGGTGAGTTAAAGATTTGTGCACCCAAGCTGGACCACAATCCAACGATTTTGCAATGCTAATAAAAATCGTTTCGACGAACGGAAAGAATCAATAATATAGTTGTATCTATGTACAGAAAAAAACAATATTTTTGAATGGAACAATAGGGCTTGAGAACTTCATTAAACTGGCAACATTGTTACTCTCCACCCAAACAGTGAATCCCTACATTCTCCCCTAGACTAAATTAGATTAGTTCAATGAACCAACTTTTCTCATTAATAGTTAAGATTCCCCCCGACTTGAACTAATTGAGATAAGCATTCAATGCTTGCTAGAAAATTGACTGACGTACATTGTCAAAATCCAATCCTAAATCATTATTCAAACCTTATTAATAATGAAAAGTTTAAAACGAGACAGTAAAGCTGATTAACAATGTTCTACCAACATACCATGAGCTAGTTCAGGTACTCTACAACTGACACCTCACACCTTCACAGTCACATGTCATTCAATATTGGTTACATGAAGGTACCCATCAATACAATTATCTCTTGTTATCAGGGTGTCGCGGGCAGGTTAGGTCCTTAAAAGAGTTTAGGTTCTCTTTCCCTTTCACCTTCACAGTCACATGTCATTCAATATTGGTTACATGAAGGTACCCATCAATACAATTATCTCTTGTTATCAGGGTGTCGCGGGCAGGTTAGGTCCTTAAAAGAGTTTAGGGTCTCTTTCCCTTTCACCTTCACAGTCACATGTCATTCAATATTGGTTACATGACTAAGGTGACCCCATCAATAGAGTTAACTCTTGTTATCAAGGTACGCGGTGTCCTAGGCTAGGTGCTTTATATAGTTCTAACTTAACACACACTAAATATTTCATATATACAGTAGCAAAACCCTTTTAGCTGTGAGGTACTGTTGATAACACGAAAACTAAGAAAATGATACTAAAGCAAGAAACTTGAACATTATATTTTCTTTGCCTCACTGACCTCGTTGTCGTGTTCTTGATCTACGCTTCTCCCAACTAAAACAGGTTTTGCACTAAAGTGAATACATACTGTTAGTCCTTTGAATCTTTAAACTTGATAATTGTTATATTTTAATCACTGTTTATGGAAATAATGTCCAAAGTAAACTTTCCTCAAAAAATCTCATCTTTACTGTGCTAATCTTAGAACTGGATTGTCACATCATCACCCATCAAAAAGAAAGGAGCCCAATACTTTGCTTCAATGTATAGTGGCGTTCTTCTCATGTTGTTTATCGTAAGATGTTTCAATCTCATCTTTACTGTGCTAATCATTTGAACTTGATCGTCACATCATCGCCCATCAAAAAGAAAGGAGCCCAATACTTTGGTTCACTGTATTGTGGCGTTTTTCTCATGTCGTTCATCGTCAGATTTATGCTGGTGCTTGCGCTCTTGCCGTCCTTCAGATACTCGTAAAACTTTTTCATAAACATCAAAGTAGCTTTGTCATCGATGGCCCACAGGGTACCCACCACAGCACGAACACCTGACGCAAGAAAGGCTCGACATATGCCAACTACACCTTCAGCTTTAATCTCACCACGTCCACTGTGACAGCAGCTTAACACAACTAACTGTGCACGCACTTGAGTCTGCTGTACATCAGCCATGGTCAGCATGTAATCCTCTTCTTCTGGGATCTTTGTTTCTCTTATCTCAGGAGAAGGAGCAAGTACGATGGTGGCCTTTTCCAGGCTACCGTGCGCAGCAATGTGAACAACAGACACTCCTTCTTGTAGTCTCTTTATGACAACGGGTTTCGTAGCGTTAGCTGACAATAGCGGCTGAACTCCAAGCATTTTAGCTATTTCATCTGCCTCTTCTATTACACCATCTAAAAAGTCAAATACTTTTTCAACTCCATCCAACATGACTGGATCAACAACGTTAGCGCCAATGATCAGTGCTTCTTTTCTGGAGTGATGCTCCACTGGATATTCTTGGAGAAGCTTCAAAGATGCCATCGAAGGAGCCATTCTAATCCGCATTCTTTCACACAAATATTGTCCCTTGTCTGGGTCCCGTAGGGCAGCAAATGGTAATCTGCACAAGGGACCCTCAGGAATAATGACCATTTCGTCTTGTTTAATCAAATGCTTGATGTTGTTTATTAACTTTTGATTGAATATTTCCAGGCCACTGGTCAGGCTGCTCTTATCGCTGTTTTCTGATGGGTTTCCTCTGAATTTACAAATAGAACGGCATTGTTCTAATAATCCTTTTTCTCTTTGTTGAATCAACAGCTGCGTTAATTCATCTTCTTTGGGATTCTTGTTTTCTTCATAGTCGTCCATGACGTCTATTGATCTGTCCTCACAATTGATTACTTCACGCACTTTCATATAGTCGAATGTTTTATCAACAAGCTTGTCTAGGCATGAGTCACAGTATTCAATATGCTGGACTAAAAATCCAAGCTCTTTTCCTGCCTCTACTACAAACGTGTACAAATCTTCAAAACACGTTGAATAAAACAGAAGAGTGTAGTTACTGCTGGAGACAAGAGACTGGACATCGACGTACTGTAAACCCTCATCAGCAGTTTGTTCTTTCTTCATTCCATAGCTTGAAACAAGGAGATCTTTCAGGGCTTTTGCACGATAGTGGTCAGACAATAGCAGAGCTTCTTCTTTCTTATTTGTTTCAATAAGAACCTTCAGAAGCAGCTTGAAAGTCTCTTTGTGTTGATCAACGAAAGCTATTTTGAATCGATCGTTTTGCTTAAGACCAATAAATATTAATTCATAGCACCTTAACGATTCTTTGAATGACTCCTCTGCATTCACAAACTGTTTAAGTTTATAATAGATTTCTCCTAAGCTCAAATGGGACTTTGCCTGTTTGGAATTTGAGCCCTCTTTGCGTGCATCATGAAGTGCTTCTTGTTGATACTGTATACCCTTATCGTAGTCCCCAAGTAACACATGCAACTCTGAGATGTCATGCTTACAATTCCATAATAGTTCAAGATAATCATCTTTATTGATACTGTTCTCTCCGAGCGCCATACAAGTCTCAAGACATGAAATAGCTTCCTCGTATTCATTGTTTGCATTATAATACACGTAGCGATAAAACGAATTGGCAAAACGCTCGATATCCGGAACATCATCTGGAAACTCTTTCAGGAATGACCCTACTGGTAATAATCCACTATATCTTTCAGACGTGCCAACCATTTCATAAATCCCATTTAGACGTAATTCAAAATAGGAGACGTCAAGGTTGTCCTCTAGTTGTCTAGCTATTGTCGTGCCTTCTGCAAAGAAACGGTGAGCATCATCATATTCTTCGTTCTTCAAGTGAGCATTTCCTAACATCAAGTAAGCATTCATCTCAACCACTTTATCACCAGATTCTTTTGCGATGGCAAGAAATTTTGTACTGTATGATATAGCATTATCATATTCTTTTTTGTACAAGTGAGCATTTCCTAACATCATGTACGCATTCATCTCATTCTCTTTATCACCAGTTTTTTTTGCGATGGTAAGACGTTTTGTACTGTATGATATAGCATCATCATATTCTTTTTTTTTTCAAGTGAGCAAGCCCTAATTTCATGTATGCATTCATGCTAGCGACTTCATCGCCAGATTCTTGTGCGATGGCAAAACATCTTTTACTGTATTTTATAGCATTATCATATTCCTTTTTGTTCAAATGGGCATTTCCTAACGTGTCGTACGCATGCATCACAGCCTCTTTATCACCAGATTTTTGTGCGATGGCAAGGCCTTTTATACTGTATTTTATAGCATTATCATATTCTTTTTTGTACAAGTGGGCATTTCCTAACATCATGTACGCATTCATCTCAACCACTTTATCACCAGATTCTTTTGCGAGAGTAAGACATTTTTTACTGAAATTTATAGCATCATCATCTTTTTCTTTCTTCAAGTGGGCACTTCCTAACATCATACATCCATACATCTGAGCTATTTTATCACCAGATTTTTGTGCGATGGCAAGACATTTTGTACTGTATTTTATAGCATTATCATATTCTTTTTTGTTCAAATGGGCATTTCCTAACCTCTTGTACGCATTCATCTCAGCCACTTTATCACCAGATTTTTGTGCGATGGCAAGGCATTTTGTACTGTATTTTATAGCATTATCA